TTTCTTCTTCTGGAATAGAATCAGACACCATTCACCCAACTGTCTGAGCGAGAAGCCCCGCAGTCAGACTGGCCTCCCGCCTCCCTAGACGCTTCACATTAGAACAGTCACAGGGTCCTGAGTCTGCCTTCTTCTCTCCCCACACTGCCACTCTTCTACTCAGTCCCTGGCCTCTGTCCACGGGGCCTGGTTGCAGCCTCCTCACTGTATGCCAGGTCTCTGGTCTTCACTCCTTCCAATCATCATATACTCAGTTCCGGAAGGTGAGCCTCTGAAGCTTTCAGCTGGGAATTCCCAGAGCTTACCCTCATGTATGCTGAGCAGAGAAAGTCAATGCCTAGCATGACATCCAAGGCTTCTATGACCCAATATTAACCCTGCTTTCAAACCCTAGCCTTGCTACTTCCTACTTTATGCTTTGGTGTTAAGGAATGGCCACCCACTCCCCTGCGTGCGCGTCCCCCTTCCCCCTCCACACACACACACACACACAGAGGGCTGTTCCATTCTTAAGCTGTTCTCAAACCAGCATTGAGCTAAATCATACAGTTATACTCTTCCGTGCTTGCCATTTGATGTTGAAAGTAGCTGTATGTCTTCTGTCTTGGCTACCAGTGTGTCCAGGGTAGTCATTCACATTGGTTGCCACACACAGTAGACCCTCAACAGATGCCCATGGAACCAAAATGTACTTTTTTTTTTTTTATCACCCCCTCCCCCCCAATCCTATCAACTATTCAGGGTGACAGACATGAGTTTCATCACAAAAGCAGAAGTGACTGGGTGACAGGGGTTAAAACTGAAGGCAGGACTGGCATTTTCATAAAAGACATAACTATGAGAAAGGTCTCAAAGCCTCACTGAAATATTTCCTATGCTGGTGCCCAGTCACGCCTGATCAGTGATAAGGTATACAATAGGATTTAGTTGTGAGCTATGACTCCATCCTGGCATCAATGAACCCACAGATACCCTATAGAACTTATAAAATTCAAATGCAGGAATTAAATTGTAAGGCTAGATATGGGATAACGAGAGAACATGAGGGTGTCCATAAAGTCTGGAAACACAATACTGTTCTATTTGTGGTTACAGATTGAAGATGCCCTTTATGACACTGAGTGTACTCACCTGTTTGCGGATTTTAGGATGCAGTCTGTCTGCTTAAGGAGAACTTGTCAAAGCTTACTTGTAGTCTATGTCAACACTGTTGAGAGCAACTGGGACCTTGGTCCACATGATAAAATTGGACCCACTGCACTACAAAACCAGCACCATGTAGCTTTGACAAATGCCCCTGTCAAAAAACGTTGCGTTTTATCGTGGAACCCAAGCTCCCAAAATTGGGGGAAATCGTTCGTGCACCTCAGCAGCCCTGCCTGCTCCTGTGGCCTGCGTGTCACACACGGTTTGGAGGCAGCTCTCCAAAATATGATCTGAAAGCTTCCTTGGAAAGCAAATCTTTCCCACATCCTTCCCCGCAGTTCCCCTTTAAGAGGTGTCAGCACGGCTGAAAGAATGAAGTGGCTGCACATTGTTCAGTAGTGCTATTATGTGCTTAACATTTCCATAACAAAAGTGCCACTCGACTTCTCCCCATTAATGCAGCTCGAGGGCTCTTGTCGTCCTTTAATAAAACATTGTTGAAATCATTTATTTAGAGCCCCTGGTTACTAGTGGGAGAATGACCATCTTTGTGCCAAAATATAGTGTATACAGTCCACTATTTTGTAGTAGATCATTCTGTGATTTAAGAAATTGATTAAATGGGTGCCTTGGAAGGTACTTATGCTAATAGCACATCACTTATGTCATTCAGATAGTCAAGGGTGAACCTTTTCAACTGTCCAGCAAGAGGCAAGCCCTCTTAAGGGACTACAGTAACGTCCAACGGTCCTGAACGCGCGATGCAGGGAGACCCACGGATGCCCAGGCCTTTGTAACGCGATGCTTCCCAACCACCTTGCTTTGGGAGACGCGGGGTCAGCTGGCAAGTGTTCCTGATGTTCCTTGTACAAGAGGTCAAAAAACAAATAATGTCTGCTTTTCTTTTCTTGGGCCTGAAAAGGGATCCCTGAGGTTAGGTTTGAGAACTTCCACAGTGGAAGCCAATAAGCTAATAATGCAAAGTCAGAGTTGAAAGCAGAAAGGCAGGGTTGGATGGCTCTGAACGTTCTCCTGGCCTTCCCTCCCTCTTTTTAGTCTCTACCACATAACATGGCTGGGATGGAGCCTGGGGTGGTGGGGAGGGGGCGGGTGGATGCAGGGAATAGTGAGGAAAGGAATGATTTCTCTGGACTCTTCTGAGGAGATGGGCTCCTGGTTCTGAGTCTGGTCTGCCCCATGCAGGTCCTCCTGGGGGCACTGCAGAGCATCCCAGCCGTGTCAGGGCGTGGTGGCCCCTGCAGGCTGTGGCGGTGGGTGTCCAGAGCTGCTGTCTTCCTTTTGGACATTTGCAGGGGGCCCTGTCCAAGCAAAGGGAGGTCCTGCTACTTAGCACCAGAATTTCGTTCCCTCCAGCCATTTTGTCCCCACTTTACACACAGATATGGCTCACGTATGCTGCCATATATTGTTCAACATAAACAGAGACCTTACGCTACGTCCATTGGTCCATTGTGGCCATACACAAAAGCGTTGCTGTGTGCTTGGGTGAACAGGAAAGCCCTAACCGCCTCCTATGTACTGTATGGTCACTGTCAGCTCAATGAGCTGCCTGCCCCCTTGTTCCCCACCATTGTCCCACACTCCCTCCAACATTTGTCACTGGAGTGTCTCCCAAGACAGACACACTGCCACCGAGAAGGCAAACCTGCCAACTGGGAAAGTGGGGACCCCCGCCAGGAACCCACGATTTCCCGTGACATTCGAAAGGAGTCGCCCCCACTCGGGAAAGCCTCTGTGGGAAGTGGGGTGCTTTCCGAGAGAGTCCCCAGGGAAAAGCCAGAGAGACCCTTCCCTTAGGTAATGGTCCTTCCAGGCAGTCTCCTTCTCGAATGTCCAACATTCCAAAAGGCTCCCCGGAGAGCGTGAGATGTTACAGATGTCAACATCTGTAAAAACCCTTTCTGCCTGGGAGCAGATGGCAGCCTACACCCTGCACCACCAACGCACAAGGTCCCCACATCTAAGCGACCTGGTCTGGTCCCCACCGGCTCTGCAGGGGGAAAGGAGGCTCCCGGGCTCCAGGGCAGAACTGTTTAAATGGAAATGGACCACCGATCAATGCTCACTTTCTTCAAGGAAGAAAGCATAAAGCCTCGTGTCTTCTCTCCCCCAGCGCTGGCCATGTTGATTTATTCCAGGCAGATGCTTTTGACAGGACCCTGTAAAATCAAGTCGTGAGTTTATTGTAGCAGTTAATTATCAGGCCTTTTCTAGTGCTAATGCCTTTTACTTCTTACTGGGGGAAACTGGGCCCTTTCCTGGGACAAAGACTTAACTTTTTTTTAAGTCAAGAATGTGTTAAAATAACATGAAACGGAGATGATTTAAATATAGTTAGGAACAAACGCAGGAGTGTTGCTAACGTGATGTTTTTTGTAAAGAAAGCTGATTTCATTTACAAGCCTTTTGGCATACCCTTTGTTCATTCCCCAAAGAAACAAAGCTCTGGGCTTTGTTTTAACAATATGTTTACTCAACCATTCAGGTGACAGGGGTTCCAGCCACACACCATTCCTAGGCGTCTCTGGCACTGCAACTACCGCAGACTCTCAGATGCCACCCATCTATGCATCTCTTGATTTTTTTTTTTTTTAGACCCAACAAGAAGCACCCAGAAGCCCTCCATAAAAGCTGGGGAAAGAGCCACTTAGAGGAAAAAGAAACCTGGAAAGTAGGGGGTGGGAGTGGGTGGGAGGAAGTCGGGAGGGGGCGGGGCCTTGTTAATTACTTCAGGCAGCGGAGAAATCTGGTTATGTTTTCTCAGCACATGTTAATATCATAGAAAGAGACACGAGATCTTGCTAATCTGTGGACCCCTCAGACAAAGTTTATTTGTGGTGACTTTTTAAACTCCTGACTTGCCTCCCAATCACCGCGTTTAAAATGAAAAGCTTTAAATAAACACCAGGAATAGAAGATAAATAAACTCTTTTTTTTTCCCCCTCGCAAGTGCCTAGCTTGGCGAGGTTCAGAGTCAAATCCCCAGAGGACAGAGCGCTCTCTTTTGTGTTAATGTTTAAAAGATTTTCCAATGCCGGAGTTTATTCCTACTGCAAACATTTCTATTTACAAGGTCAAGTGTATCAGCACTCGACACAGCTTAAGAGTGTAATTATTTATCTAAGGGCGTTTGAGTGTAGATCAGTAGCTCTGGCAGCGGCCCAGCCTTCAGCCCACTGCTAAACAACCCCTCACAACAATATCGCAAGTCCTGGTAATTGTTCCTCTCCCCAGCGTGTTTACTTTCGCTCGCCTGAGTGTTTTGTAACAAAATTTTGTGCGTTTTCACCCAGAGTGTGAAAATGACTTTGAAGTGCTGAGTCTCGCAGGTTTCCTAAGACCTATTGGTAACAGATGTTATTGGCATGTTTGATGTTAAGGGGCATGCCTAGTAGTTAGGGAGGACACTCCTGGAGGGGAGGGGGGCGCTAGGGGGAGACCAGTGGAAATGGGGGAGGAAAAGGGGAGGTGAGGTCTACCCCCAAATTATGCAGGAGATAGGATTTTGTGAATTCCCCTCCACAAACATAGGAACCAGCGGAGGCCAGTCAATTATATCTTTTTAGCTGCCTCATTTACAGATGGCTAATTGTTCATTAAATTAAAGGCAGAAATAATAGGCCTCATTTCTCGTCTTGTGCTGCATTTTAATTTCAGTTGATGGTTGATGGATTCCCAGTGGCCCCTCCACACCCATTATTGGGTTAAAACCGCAATGTAACTCTGGAAAGTAACTACACCATATTCATTATTTAAAACTCTTTACTGTTTACACATTTTAATAAAACAAATAACCAAAAAAAGGGGAGAGGAAGAAATACACAAAAACATAGTTACTTAAAATTTAAGATTTTTTTTTTTAAAAAAACGATGTCTATAAAAATACAATGTTTAAGGCAGTTTGGAAATGCATTTATACATTTCTACAATGTCCATAAATTCTCTTGAAAATAAGAATGTTAACTTCAAATCTCTAAAATACACTGTACATTTTAAGACTGACTGTCCTAGATTAAGAGCACACTTCACAATGGACTGTTGATTTGGATCCCTGATGGCTTCTATACATTTCAGGGAGAACAGGTGTGATATGAATGCAGATTTAAAGTTTTTAATTTCTTTTTTAAAAATAAATTATTTCTGAAGCATACAATTTATAAAAATTCTATATACAAGGTACAGCAACTGGTAACAAACCCCAGTTTTAATACACTTTATATAAAAGTACCAGGGTTTAGCACCCTGATAAAAGCAGAAGCAATATATGTTCTCTGCATATTTGTACATACAACTCCTTGATGTAAAGAACAACAACAACAAAAAAGACAACACAACAGACATCATAAAGAGGCTTTCATAGATGGCAGTGCAGAGCTCATATAACACAAACTTGCATTGTTTCCATATCACTAGCAGCTCTTTAGATCAGCACTTGTTGACCCTTAATTATAAGAAATGTGCTAGAGAGAGCAGAGTGGTGTAAATGAAATCAAGGTCAAAGGCTCCAAGTTACCCCCCAAAACTAATTCAGGATTATTAACCCCTTCCCACCTCCCGCCCCAAAACCGAGAATTCAGGGCGCTGGCACCAAGAGTAAAGGAATCAAACAGGTAAGTGGGACTTCTCTGATGACTGAAGATTGCCATGTCCTCACCGGCCACAATCAAAGTCAATGCCGGCCCTTCCTCCCCACCCCTCCACACAGGAAAAATGCTCATGAACAAGACAGCCTCTTTGCAAATAGAAATCCCCCTGCTCCAAGCCCAGTCCCTTGAAACTATTAAGGCCCCATTGGTCAGCACCTCTTTGGAGTCCAGGACTGTGGTTCTTCACCCCACTACCCTCCGTTAGCCCCCCAGCCCCCACCCCGTTCCATGCCAGGTGTCCAGAACTCTAGCTGCATTGGGAGTTTCTGGAGCCTGGAATGAGGGGGGAAAGAAAAGATGTCCAAGAAGTCGTGCTCTGGAGAGGAGACGGGGCAAGTGCCAACCGTTATGGCGGGGAGACCGGCTAGGAAAAACGTTTTGGCAATGATCCCCAACCAACCATCCCTTCTGTCCCCAAGCTACAGGTGCCCTGCCTGGCGCGGGCTCTCCCCGCAGCCGATGGCGGGGGCGGGCACGAGGGCTAAAACAGCAGCTGGAGGAGCAGCAGCAGCAGCAAGATGGAAGCCAACGGGGTCCAGGCGCCTCGGGGCGCCAGGCGACCACCGCCGCTGCCGCTCCTGCGCCCGGGCCCGTAGGGCAGCTCCCCGCCGCCGCCCGCCGCAGCAGCGCCGCCCCCCGGGCGCGCGGGGTGCGGGAGGCCGCCGCCGTCATCGTCGTCCAGCGGCTGCTCGCCGCCCGCGCCCCCGGGGCGCTGCTCGTCGTCGTACTCCTCGTCGTAGTAATCCAGGCCGCCGTCCGAGCCGCTGCTGCCGGGGCCGGTGCCCAGCTCGGCGCCGAAGCACAGGCGGGCCATGTTCTCCTTGATGGACTCGCAGATGGGCCGCTCCAGGCCGTCGCACACGCAGTCGTTGAGCAGCGCCGCCTTGGGCACGGCCAGCATGTCCTCGATGACGCCGCGGCACTCCTCGGTGCAGCGCAGCCCGTTGAAGAGCTTGCCGCAGTGGGTCAGGTAGCGGCCGAGCGCCTGGTGGCAGCGGCTGTCGCGGTCGCAGCGCCGCCGGGCTTCGGTGCAGCCCATGACCCCGCCCGCGCCGGGGCCCCCCGCGCCGCCCGCGCCGCCGCCGCCGGTGCCGGTGCTGGTCCGGGGCAGGCACGGCTCGATGGCGCGCTTGGTGGACTTGCAGTTCTCGTCCTGCGCGCAGTCACAGTCCTCCAGCGCGGGCCCGCGGCGCGTGTGGTTGAGCTGAATGAGGGCCGAGATGCAATGGCTCGGGCAGCGCCAGCGCGAGGAGAAGGAAGCCGCCGCCGAGGCCGGGAAGGCGGCGGCACCGGCGGCTCCCGGCGCATCGTCCCCGCCGCGCTGCGCCAGCACCGGCGCGCACGCCTCGGCGTACTGGCTGTAGGCGTAGCTGCACTCCGGCTCGCCCTGGCACTGCAGCAGCGCCTGCCAGCAGATGAGGCGGCGGCCGTGCGCCAGCCCCGAGCCCCGCGGCGCCGAGCCCAGCAGCTGCAGCAGCGCCATCAGGCACAGCCAGGCGCCCGGCACGGTGCCCCCGCGGGTCCGGCCGCCGCCGCCGCCGCTGCCGCCGCCCAGCAGTCCGGCCACCATCGCGGGCAGCAGCGGCGGCCGCCGGGCGAGGAGGAGGAGGGGGAAGGAGACGACGACGAGGAGGCGCGGGGAGCGGCGGCGGCGGACGCGGAGCCGGGGAAAAAGTTTGTCCCAGTCCTGCCAACTTCTGGCATGAGTGTTTTCATAAATCCATGCGCGCCGCCGGGCTGCTGCTCTGCTGCTCTGCTGCTCGCAGGTCGGTCTCCGTTCCTAGAAAAGCACGGCCGCGAACAGCTCCCTCCGGTCGGTCCCCAGCGGAGGCGGGAGGCGCTCACTGCCGCCCCGGTGGGCTGCGGGCCGCGGGGCCGCGGCGGGGCTGCAGGACCGCGGAGCGCCGCGGGTGCATTTCGCTCCGCGTCTGCAGATCCGTGGTACGGCCGCTTCTCTCCGTCCTCCGGGCTCAGCTCCGTCCTCCGGGCTCAGCTCCGTCCTCCGGGCTCAGCTCCGTCCTCCGGGCTCAGCTCCGTCCTCCAGGCTCAGCTCCGCGCCGCCGCCGCCGCGGGCTCTCTCATCGCGCCGAGTCCGTGCACGGCGCCCCGGCCGCCCGCGTCCCCTCCCCCTCCGCCCGAGGCGACCCCCGGCCTCGGCCGAGCTCCCGGGAGCCCTTTCCGGGAGAAAAAGAAAGTCGGCGTGGGCGCAGAGCGGCTCCCGGGCTTCCAACTGCGGCCGCGGCGGCTTCTCGGGGGACGAGGAGCCCGGGGAGCCGATGCGCTGAGCCCCGGCGGCAGCGGAGACTCGCTCGCAGCAGCGAGGCTTTAAATACAAAAGCGGGCCGGGAGCCCCCGCGTGGAGCCGAGGCGCCCCCTCATTATGCATGCATGGAAAAGCAAACAAACAAAAACATTAGCAACGCTCCTCCGGCTCGCCCGGCCCGGCCCCGCGCGCGCTCCGAGCCTGCCCGCTTTCTCCTTTCTCCGCTCTTCTTTCGCCCTTTGCTCAGCCCCCTTTCCCGGCTTTTCGAGATGCTATTGGTCCCGCCTGTTGTTGTTGAAACTTTTTTTTTTTTCTCTTTCCCTCTCGGAGCCGCTAGAGTGGGGTTGCGGAGTGGGGGAGGGCGGGGAGGGCGGTGGGCAGCTCACATTCAGGCTTTCAGGGCTTGAAAGGAAGGGCTTAGGGAGCCTGACAGAGGCCCGGAGCTCCTCCTCCTCTTAAGGAGGCTCGGAGACGGAGCCCCAGCTTGCGCTCCGAACCAGCCATCAGGGCTTAGGGGCAGCTGTTTGCAGCCGGCCACGGGCCTTTTGGTTTGTTCTTTTTAAAACTTTATTTGGGGGTAGGGGGGCGATTGCATTTATTCTTCCTGAACCCCATCTGTGCCTTGGACCGGCTTCAGAATTCGGCTCTATGGGTCCTGATCACCCCAGGCGGGACATCAGAACTTATTGTGGGACTTTGAGACTTAGACATTAAACACACACACACATAAGAAAGAGGCGCACGCTTTAGTTAGGGGGATGCTGATGAGACAGTTACAGCCCACTTCCCCCTCTTCCCAGCACGTGGTCCAGGTTTGCCGACCGGGCAGGTATGGCCCTGGAGCCAGGCTCCCTTGTCAACTGCAAGACAAATCCAATCCACCTGGTTAATACTTTAGAATTATTGTACATTACTAACACGATTGTGATGAGAAAAATAATGGCATTGCACATCTTCAGGGATGCTCAGCAGTACCTTCTGGGCTGCAGTCGCCGAATAAAGGAAGGGGGTAAGCTGGTACATTCCCTAAGGGTTTATAATCCAGTGTATATTCCAACCCCTCCTTCTGCTTTAAGGGAAGCTGCTGGGCGCGGGGCTTGGCGAACCACCTTAACGGCGGCGCAACGCAGCCTTTGGCCACCAGAGGCAGCGGGCGTCTGCGGCCTGTCAAAAACTGGCGCTTTTTTCCTCCCCTCTCCGTGGAAAGACTATCAACTCCATCTGTCACAGAAATTCAGGCTAAATCTCCTCTGCAGAAGCAGAGGGAGCTGGTCTCCAGCGCGCGCAGAGTCCGGCTGCCCGCCTCTCCCCGGGCCAGCGAATCTGAAATGGCAAAAGCGAGAACGGGGCGCCGCAGACCTATCCGGCTGCCAGTTATCCATGCCTTCTCCTGTGCCCGCAGAGGCTGCTGCGTCCTGCAGCCCGAGCGCCCAGATCTGCCTTAGGAGGTTGCACCCCTGCAGATCTCAAAAGAACCAGAGATAAAGCAGATCGTTTTGAGCTGACTTGAGTCAAAGGAAAAACACAATATCAATCTATTTTAAAAAGAAAGAAAAAAGACTACAGTTCTGTGTGTAAACAACCATTTTTCCGGGTCTGGAGTGTTGTGTTGTTCGGAGTTGTAATTTCAGTCTGGGGAGGACGGCTTGGAAAAGTCCCACTCTTCTGTAACTTGGGCCCTTCCTAGGTAAGTTTCAAGGCGAGACTAGACCCATGGAAAAGTGTTTTCAATCTCAGTGCTCTGTGATGTTAGGCTCATAAGAAGAAGGTCAAAACTCAGCTGTATCACGCTAGCTGGTTGGGTTCAGTGTCTAAAGCATTGGCCTGTGGACTCAAGGGTTCTGGGTTTGGTTTCCAACAAAGGCACATGCCTGGGTTGTGGGCTCCGTCCCCAGTAGGGGGCGTGCAGGAGGCAGCCAATCAATGATTCCTTCTCATCACTGGTGTTTCTATCTCTCCCTTCCTCTCTGAAATCAATAAAAATACATTTTTTTTAAAAAATTCAGCTGTTTCTTTAAGCTAATGTGGGTCTCACACCTCAGTGAACATGAGAGGTGCCTGGTGGCCTAGTTAAAACCCACCTGGAGTTCCTTGTGCAGCAAGACTGGTGGGGTCAGAGAATCTGCTTTTCTGATAAGTTTGAAGTGAATGCTACGGCTCTAGAGAGCCACGTGTTTGTTTGTTTTTCTTGTTGTTGTTTATAAAATTTGCCTCATTCTGTCCTTAACACAGCTCTCAGTGGGCTTTAAAGGACTCGAGAGAGATCCCTTTGTGTGCTTCAGGGACACCAAAGTACCCCAGTCCCACTACATTTCAGACCTGCAAGGCTAACTGTCAGGTACCGGATATTGGCCTGAGAAGGAGGCTGTGAAGAGATGGGAGAATGAATGAGCCCCTTTCTCAGTGAGTCCCAGAAGCCATGAGTCCCATCGTGCTTCACATCCAGGTTTGCATCGATAGCCACCAAGACACCCAGACACTAATCCCCATATTACTCTGTAAATCCCTTAAACTGACTTAATTCCCACCGTGAGCACCCTCCCCCCACATCCACTTTCCCTGGAGTTCTCAGAGAGATGTCGCATGTCTTCACCCTGCTGTCTGAGCTGGATCTTCACATTCTTGCTCTAACTAAAAGCCATGGCAAACTACAGAATGGGAGACAATACTTGTAAACAATTGATACATATCTGATAAGGGATTAATATCCACAATATATAAGAAATTCATACAACTCAAGAGCAAAACAAACAAACAAACAAAACAATCTGATTGAGAAATAGACAGAGGACTTGAATAGACATTTATCCAAAGAAGGAATACAATGGCCAACAAATAACAGGAAAAGGTTCTCAACATCATGAATCATCAGGGAAATGACAATCAAAACCACAATGAAGTTATCACCTTAGGGCTGTTAGAAAGAAATACTGGCGAGAAAGTGGAGAAAAGGGTACTATGGTGCACTGATGGTGGGAATGTAAATTGGAAGTTACTGGAAAACAGTTTGGTGGTTCCTCAACAATTAACATAGAACTTCCATAGGGTCTAGCAATTCCACTTCTGGGTAAGTATCAAAAAGAGAGAAATCACTATCTTGAAGAAATATCTGCACTCTTGTGTTCATTGTAGCATTATTCACAATAGGCAAAATATGGAATCAACATAACGGTTCATTTATGGACAAAGAATAAATAAAATGTGATAGATAGACAGACAGACAGACAGACAGACAATGGAGTATTATTCAGCCATAAAAAGGAAATCTCGCAGTTGGGTTAACATGGGTGGCCCTCGAGTAAGACAGATGGATAATTTCTAAGGAAAGAAGACCTCCCACAATTGTGGGAGCTGGGGCAGCAGGTAGGGGAGCCACAGGGAGAGCTTTCTAGAAGAAGGGATGTGAAAATGCAAAGGTCAGGCTTCAATGAGGGTGTGCAAGATTGACACCACAAGTCCCATCCGGTTTGGCTCAGTGGATAGAGCATGGGCCTGTGGACTGAAGGGTCCTGGCTTCAATTCTGGTCAAGGGCACACGCCTGGGTGGCAGGCTCAAGCCCCAGTAGGGGGCATGCAGGAGGCAGCCAATCAATGATGAAAAGCAGTCTGTTGCTTCTGTGTTCTGATATCCATGTTTAGTTGTTTGTTTAATGAGCTTTGCAAATGTTACACCCCAAGAGTACTTCTGATTTCCTACTCCCAAAACCTGTTTGATCCCCGGTATTTCTGTGGGAGGTAGTCTCCAACCTTTTCCTCCCTTACTTTGTATCCATACTGCTCAGATCAAGAGGCAGAGTCTAACTCCTTTTCCCTTAAATGTTGGACAGGTCTTAGTGACTTTGACCTATCCTATATAATAAAAGCCTACTATACTAAGTGTGCTGGGCCTGTAGTAGAATATAATGATAGTAACTGGCACCCTGTGGCTTCCAGGCTAAGTCTCAAGAAGCCTTGCAGCTTCAACCTGGGCCTCGTGGTGTGTTTGCTCTGGAGAAGCCAGTCAACATGTAAGAAATCTGACAACATTGAGACTGCCAGGTTTTGAGGATGCCATGGAGAGGACACATGGAGGGAGGGAGGGAGGGAGGGAGGGAGGGAGGGAGAGAGAGAGAGAGAGAGAGAGAGAGAGAGAGAGTGTTATGCCAGGTTAGCTCCCAACTTTTACAGCCTTGTGATTAAACAAGGCACCAGATATGTGACTGAAGCAGTCATCTTGGATGTCCAACCCAATGAAACCATCAGATGACTACAGCTCCAACTGGCATCTGAGAGAAAGCCCAACTCAGAGTCAGGGTCAAACAGGGTGAGGTGAGTGAGGCACCTAAGTGCAAAGGTTAAGGAAATATTCTCATAATGGTATTGCAGGAACCTCAAGAGTAGGTGCCTTCTTAAATTCTGTACCTTAAACACTTCACTCACCTGACCCTAGCTCTGGTTTTGCCCCAGGCAATAACAGTACAGCTTTCTCCAGTTAACTAAGAATCATGAGAAATAACAAAGAATGTTGTTTTAAGCCACCAAGTTTTTATAAAACTAGAAAAGTACATACTCTTTTCATCATTCCCAAGTGCTTAGGTCAAATACTTTTCCCTTTTCTGTCACATCACATATCCAACTGATGGACAATTATAAGACAGTCAATAAAATATTTTATTAATTGAATGAATGAAAAATCAAAACTTATTGCTTGTCTTCTAAATCAGCCAACTC